TTTTTTTTTTTTAATTAAAGGTAACTAAGAATGTTTTTTTTTTTTTTTTTTTTTTTACGGTTTTTCTTCAATCCTAAATTTTTTTTTTTTTTTTTTTTATTTCAATCCTGAGTTTTAATTGTTTTTTTTTTTTTTTTTTTTGGCTACCCACTTTTAGGTAAAAATTTTTTTTTTTTTTTTTTTTGCACTGGCATCTACCGAGCGATCATTTTTTTTTTTTTTTTTTTTTAATAAGACGTTTGGTTGGCAAGTTTTTTTTTTTTTTTTTTTAGTTCGCACTTTAAGATGATTTCAGTTCAAACTTTCAACTGTAAACAGCGTTTGTATTAAAAGCATATTTTTTTTTTTTTTTTTTTAACGAGACCTGTATTCGCTACTGTTTTTTTTTTTTTTTTTTTTTCGACATCACTCTTAAAAGAAATATTTTTTTTTTTTTTTTTTTAACATGTTTAAAATTTTGAAATATTTTTTTTTTTTTTTTTTTTTTCCCCTTAAGGAATATATTAGGATTTTTTTTTTTTTTTTTTTCCAACGAAGGCCAATAATACTTCATTTTTTTTTTTTTTTTTTTTATTTAAAATAAGTTGAATATACTTTTATATTTTTAGGTAAATTTATACATATACATATATTATTTATTTTTTTTTTTTTTTTTTTATTAATTTTGTTGAAACACGACCCTTTTTTTTTTTTTTTTTTTATATCTATCGTGTTAAAATAAAATTTTTTTTTTTTTTTTTTTTTTATTCTTATTATTATTATCATTATTTTTTTTTTTTTTTTTTTCTTTCAAATGATGTTTTAGGTAAATTTTTTTTTTTTTTTTTTTTGGATATATCAACAAAGTTGAAATTTTTTTTTTTTTTTTTTTTCGATTACAAAAGCTGACGTTTCGATTTTTTTTTTTTTTTTTTTGCGAATAGAGGAATCGTGGGTTGTTTTTTTTTTTTTTTTTTTTTAAAATAGTTGTAAATTATGCTTTTTTTTTTTTTTTTTTTTTTGACTGACAAATAATTCATGTTAATTTCGCTCACCACAGCCGGCAGAAAAATCAATAGAGAAGTGAATTTTTTTTTTTTTTTTTTTTCTCTTAATTGTTCTGTTGGTTCCATTTTTTTTTTTTTTTTTTTACTTGGGGTAAACTTGCTCGTTGATTTTTTTTTTTTTTTTTTTATCTAAAGTATATGTTGATGCAATTTTTTTTTTTTTTTTTTTTTTTTTTTTTTTTTTTTTTTTTTTTTTTTTTTTTTTTTTTTTTTATAAAACCTATCCCATCCTACCACTTTTTTTTTTTTTTTTTTTTCTATCGTACAATATTTATAATCATTTTTTTTTTTTTTTTTTTCCGGTGATAGTCTAAGAGAGTAGGTTTTTTTTTTTTTTTTTTTTTCACGGTTAAATCTGAACCAGAATTTTTTTTTTTTTTTTTTTTTGTGCTATTTTGAAGAAGACTAATTTTTTTTTTTTTTTTTTTAAAAAATGCGCGTCAATTATTGTGTTTTTTTTTTTTTTTTTTTTTTTGCAACGCTTTGACAACTTCTTTTTTTTTTTTTTTTTTTTCCATGACGGATCCACAGCTCTGCCTTTTTTTTTTTTTTTTTTTGTTTCTATGGCTGTGTGGAGCCGTTTTTTTTTTTTTTTTTTTTATTTCTATCAAGTAGCAGGGATGATTTTTTTTTTTTTTTTTTTGCAACATGCAAATCACTCTCTGCCGGCTTTTATCACATGAGAATGCTCGAACTGAACTAAGGATTTCTGTTGAAAATTTTAATTCAGCGAGTGTTCAATGCGTGCCAACGAGGAATGATGACACGTGTTTGATTTTATTTGTATCTCTGAAAGTTTCCTTAAAGCCAGCTTCGAAGGATAGCTCAATAATTTTCTTTGAAGTTGACGCGAAACTCGGAACCATCGGCCTTGTATACCCCTGTTTGCCTCATAACTCCATCAGCAGCCGTTTCCATGACCACCGCCGTTCGTCGATAGCCCACGAACGTTTTTCTCCCTAAGTGATGAACATATAATTTCTCCAAGCAGTATCACCCCTGAAACAAAGACAGAGGAAAAAACTCTCCTTGTCAGTACCAATAGAAAATCATGGTTTGGAGAAAAGTATGGAGAAATTGCATACTGATGTTTGGGTGAAAAGGTACAATCGTTAACCTGCCAGTCCTAGAATAAACTATAAAACAGTTCGATCATGACGGAGACTGTTAGCCGGCTCTCTTTTCGATCCGTCGCTCTGAGCTCAGTTATCTGGCCATCATTTCCCTCAAAAAACATGCCAAGCCTGTACTGTTTGCGCGATGAAACTTCAAAGATCGTGCCGTTTAAACTCCCTTTAAAGTAACCTACAGAGCAGTTTTTTTTTTTTTTTTTTTCTCAGAATTACAAAAACGGTAAAATTTTTTTTTTTTTTTTTTTCATTTTTTACTTTTATCGCGAGCTTTTTTTTTTTTTTTTTTTTTAATAAGAAGCCTGCACTGCTTGCTTTTTTTTTTTTTTTTTTTCGACCCGTTGGAATAGTAATCACGCAAAAATCGCGGCTCTTTGACCGAGCTGGAATTTTCCAGAAGATTTTTTTTTTTTTTTTTTTCTCTGTAACCAGTCCTTTCAGGTGTTTTTTTTTTTTTTTTTTTTGAACCCATCCCAAGTAACTATTTTTTTTTTTTTTTTTTTTTTCTAAAGATTTGACAACTTGCAAAATTTTTTTTTTTTTTTTTTTGAATTTGTTTTAGTGTTGGGCGACTTTTTTTTTTTTTTTTTTTTTATGTCGTAACGCTGGGAAAACTTTTTTTTTTTTTTTTTTTTTGATAACTTTTTAGTTCGCTAAATTTTTTTTTTTTTTTTTTTTAAATTTAACAGATCTTCCACATGTTTTTTTTTTTTTTTTTTTTTTAGTAGTTTAGCGACAGATATTCTTTTTTTTTTTTTTTTTTTGGCTGTTGCAAGTAAGTTATGTAATTTTTTTTTTTTTTTTTTTTTACGTCGAGGTTTGTGCACTTGCAGGCGCGCACGACTTAGTCTCACGTGATACGTTGATGAAACGTGGCAAAGAATCCACTTTCCCTTCAAAATTTCTCTGTCGTTTCGTTTTTTTTTTTTTTTTTTTCGGATATTTAAAAAAAATCTTATTTTTTTTTTTTTTTTTTTTTGCTTTCCCATTCTGTTGTCATTGATTTTTTTTTTTTTTTTTTTGTCGATCTTTGTGCGCACGTGATGTTTTTTTTTTTTTTTTTTTAATAGGCATGCACGCTCTTTATGATTTTTTTTTTTTTTTTTTTGCTCAGTAAGAACTTTCCCTTAGAAGCGTTAGTTGAGCTTTTTTTGGCTCCTTC